GAGTGATTTTCAAACCACCAGGTCTGGGACTCCAATCATAGGCAGCTATGTGGGGGTCCAGTGCTTTAACCACCACACCACCTCTTGTCCCCCATAAAACTTTTATTAATGACTTCACACACCCCACAAAAACCTTTCTCTTTTGGAAATTACTAAAGCATCGATTGTTTATTCTGTAAGGATCTTGGGGAACCATGCTGCTATATCGGATACCAATATTCATGTGAAGTGCCCAAAATAGTGTCTCCAGGAGAAACCAACAAGCTTTCATGTCAGCTGTTCTCAAACATGGCTATACATTAGAATGATCTGGTGGGGTCAGCAGGTGCCATGGTGGTTAAAGGTGCTGGACTCCCACAGCGTCGACTGCATTTCAAGTCCCAAACCAGGCAGTTAGCGTTCTCACTTTCCCTCTCTCTCTGTCCCTTCAGGTCAAATTAAAAAATAATAATGATTAATAAACTTAAATAAAATATTTAAAAATGAATGATCTGGTAAGGTTTTCTCAAAAATCCCAATACTTGTACCTATTCCAAGAAAATCAGAATCATTTGATCTGGGATAAAGTTCAGTCATCAGTATTTATTACACGTTTCCACTGAAACACTCATGTTTTGAAACCTGTAAACATTCCTATCCAGCTTAATGGCTAAACAGGTAAGGTAACGGAAAAAGATTTGTGGGTGGGTTTTTGCATTGAAAAATGATTCATTGAATAAACAAGTAAGAGGCACCGGACAAGTGCTAGAAAATGAAGAGAGGTGAGTGAAATTGTGGGTGGATCAGAGAAAGAGAGGGAAATCAGTGAATTAATCAGAGGTTCCAAGAACTCCCCTAAAACAATGACAACATTTACTTTGCCTTTTCTCAAGATTTAGTTTAAATGAATGCTCTAGGGAGTTTGGGAAATAACTTGGGTACAGATTTCAGAAGCCTAAATCTTTCTACTTTTTATATGGATAACTCAACCACAAAGGTAACTGTGGTGAAACATGAAAACTTGGTGGATAGTCCACATAGGACAATCAACAAAGCCAGGAACTTGGTGATTAACCACACAGGAAAGGATGATTCCCCAAATCAGGGAGCTGCAAAGAAAGCCTGCCTCTCCGTCAGTGCTGTAAGGCAAGCACCATTCATCATCTGCTTGCATGTCTTGGGAAATCAGCTGGCTTAGCCAAGAGACCTTTCTGGAGCAGGGGCTAAAAACATTTGCTGGCTAGGAGAGAGGCTCCCTGTGTGGACTAACTGTAGCAGGAGCTCTTGGTACCAGAGGGATACTTACAGACCTCCCTCCTGACCCGAGTTTTTGCTGTAGGCCTACTGGAAGGAAAAAGGATATCCTCATCACCTTTACTTCTTGACTATCCATTTCTATCCAGGAAATCTAATAGCTCAACTGCAGTAGTGCTAAGGATACCACAGGCTGGTTGGTTCAAGTAGGCAAAGAAACATAATTAGCTATTAAAGGAGACAGAGATATTTAAAAAAGGGAGCTCAGGCTGA